TCCAGTAGACAACATGGACATTTAAATAGTTTCTTACTTTCCCTTGTATTATGAGAAATGTCTTTTTCTTAACTTCGGCTTATAGATGTATTCAGAAGATGGTATTCTAGTTGCATTAAGTCCAGGTTTAGTTTTAATTATTTACGGATAATTTTCTTGTTATTTCTTTCTGTCTTGCAGTCACAGCTTTAGGGAATGGATGTACTCTCACAAAAAATTGGAGTTGAAGTCACTGAACTGACAGTATGGAGACTATCAAGAGACTGGTGACAGAAAACTTCTGCACTGGCGTGAAAGGAACATTCTCATTCAGTCTTAAAGGGAGATAATGAAAAAGAAAGACAGTGAAAGTTGTTTTATCTCACCCACCCTCTTTAGTGGTAAATTTTTAAAACAAAATATAGATTGTGCTAGAGGAAGGATTTTTCATGTAGGAAGGGTTTATAATAGGATTTTACTTATTTATTATATCAATAGCTTTACAGAAGGGTTATTCAGTTATAGATATTAATTTATCAGCAAACATCTGTTTTGAGGCATTCACAATTTTCATTGAACCAAAATCTGCTTTTCTATTAAAGTGAAAATTTTCACAGAAAAATGTGGCAATGAAATTTTTCATGTTTTCATGAAAATAAAAGTGGCTTGTTTTTGTAAAATTTGGCATCAAAAGTTGTTAAACAACATATGTTTTAGAAGAGCAGTAATAATATTAAATCAGTTTAGTTTGGCTTTGCTAATTTTTTATCAACTGCCAAAGCTTTTCCTGACCAAGTATAATAGAATCTCCTGATAATTTCTGTAAGTTGTTTAAAACTTGAAAATAAAATGCCTTCTGTTGCTGTAGGGCTGATTGAGAAGGATACGCTTAATTTCTCTGCTGTGTTGTTTAACTAACAGAAGTTACATGCCATTGTATGTTATTAAACTCATAATTTAAACCTGTGCTCCAAAAACATTTTGTGAAAACATGGGTTCCCACCATCATCCAGCTGCTTTAGAGCTGAATATCTATTTTATGGTTATGAGTCAACAGGGCGGAAGACAAGAGCAGCACCTGTCAACACGTGTGTGCTGAAAGCTGTCCCAAAAATCCCCAAAAATAGAGATAACAGTGGAATTAGAGATCCACTGTTTGAGAAGCCTAGCAACACATAGCAAAGGTGTCTCTGCTCCGAAGATTTTTCCACTGTGATAGAATCCAAAACCACAGCATCATCATGAAATGAAGAAGCTCTGCAATGGAAGGTAGAGATAATAAGACCTTACAGGTCTTATTACACAAAATACTTACACGCCTGGTTTCACAGGCTTATGTTTAAAAAGTGAAAAATACATAAGGAACAAGGGACATTAAATATGTCAGGATCCCTACTGGCTACCTGCCTAAACGTTAGTCAGAGTGCTTGTTAATGCAGTATAAATTCAAAGAGATGCAAAAAGCCGCTTGAAATCAGAGTTCAAACAAATGCAAGGCAAAAAGATTTTCTACAGAATCCCTTTCCTTTTTCACAGGGAAACTCTGGTCCTTGGATCTGTCCAAATTTAGAATAAAAAAAATAATAATTTTTAAAATTTTTTTTTTAACTGTGTGTGTATTTCCTGGCTTCTGTCCCTCATGGAGCAATTAGCCTCATCTGTGTGCCCTGATACAGTTTCCCATGGCAGATCTCCACAGTAATCCCTGCAGTAGGTCAGACATCTGCTGAAGTCACTTGCTTCTATGATTTCATTTAACCCTTTTCTTTGCTACATAAGAAGGACATACAGCTGAGCACCAAGAGGACTCAGAAGGACTGATGTTAGTTCCATCCAGAACAATTCTTTGTAGAGCCTCAGATGTGATGTTTTAATCCTCTGAGCCTCATTTACTCGATATGCCACATGGCAATTCCTGTTTTCAGTTTGAAGGTAACATTTGGGATCAGCAGCTCTTTTAGCCCTCTGCCTTCCCCCACCTCTGTTAGCCTCCTCTGTCAGCAGCATGTGCCCTGCTGGATCCCCTCTATGCTCCTCTGAAGCATGTTGAAAGTGTCTCTGCCTGTGTGCTATATCTCTCCTTTTCACATCTTTTCTCTCTTTTCTTTTCCTTTTTTAAATGAATTTTTGCCTAGCCAGTGGCAGCTGTTGGATCTCTAATTGGCAGTGGAATACCTCTCAAATAACAAGACTGTGTCACAAAAGAAAAATATCAATGTTTCCATAATATTGTGACTTGGCAACCAGTATATTAGCTTGGGAGGATTTGTGACATCAGGTGCTACAAATCATCCCTTTAATTTTTCTTAAAAAATACAACTCAAGAAAGGAGATTTTTCAATCACAAAGCTACACATTTCATTAGGATTCTCATTACAGTTCATACTACTTATTTATGGAGTGCTCACAAGTGTGATAAATGTTGTATGGCTCTGCAGACCTTAGGAGCAAGCTTTACATACGGCAAGGCAAGCGAGACCTGAACAATAGGTGAACCAGTCAATTTCCTTTTGTATTAATTGGATCTGCAAGGAAAACTGAAGAAGGGAAAAAAAAATCCCTCTGCTATTCAAGTATCTCTAAAACTTCCACAGACTTTAATGGCATTAGAATTGAGGCTTTAAAGACAGCCTCGTTCTCTTTGAGAAGCAATGACAATAATTTCTCACTAAGACCCTGTAAAACCTCCTGCTTATTTCTCCTTTCTGTACCTTTTCTAGTAAGATTTCTGTGTCAGCTTCCCAAGTGTGCCTAGTGGGGAAAGTCTGATTTTCACTTTCAGCGGATTGCTGATGCCTAACTAACAATAATAAAAGCAGTTTGTGTCCCTGAACCCTCTCAGGAGCATTGCAGCCTGAATTGGGTGTTATACATTGCAGCTTGGCCTTTTGAAATCGTCCACGGAAACAGAGCACAGAGCCTTGTCAGCCGCTGTTCAATTCTTCAATTAAAATGTGAGCTGTCTCTTTTATAGTTCTGTATTTTGTCTCCATTCCTTATTGCAGCACTTCTACCTGATGCAGGATATTTTAACACTTGCTTTCTGGCAGTCAGTTATATATTGAAGATTTTTTGTCCTCTAGGAATGAGCTCTGTTGTTTTGATTGATTTTTCACTCTTTTTATTACCTGCAAAATACTAGATTCTGAAAGTAATAGCAACCATCGTTAAATAGTATAGGAAATAAAAGATACTTCAGTTGTCTTAAGGCTGTTTCAATCTCCTTTTCCCTTTCTACAGAGTTTGTCTATGGCTTAGCAAAAAAAAAAGATAAAAAGCAAGCCTCTTTCAATGTAGAGGTTTTTTTGTCTTTTAAAGGCAAGCTTGAAAGGCTATATATTGTCTGAAGAGAATAAGAAAAAAAGTTAGGCTCCTAGAGTCTACTTGATTCTGCCCACTACATTTATTCCTGCTGTTAGCAGGATTAAAATTTACTACTAGAGAGAGGCATAAATAAAGACATGTTCTTGGAAAATATATGCAAATGTGAGCACACCTTTCAAAACCTCATTTGGCAGTTCAAATGCCTAAGTGCCTGAGCTAGAAGCTACTGTAAAATTGACTGCAAGGTGGAGAAAATGCATACAAAGTAAGCCAGAGGCAGAACAAGGCTGCAATCCAGGTCCAAAGAATACCAGTCCAGGATAGCATTCTCTAGGGTACATTGCCATATATTTGCCTTGCTTATGCTTGTGAGAGGGCATTTGTCTTTTCAGGATGGCTAAAATTTGCTGGATGGGGTGCTGAATCTAGATTTTTGGACATAGTCCCCCTCTTAGGAATTTTTCCTAGCTGTCCTTCCAACAGTGGTAAATAACCTTGCAGGATGAGCTATGGAAAAGTCAGATTGCTGCTGGGAGAAGACAGAGACAAAGGGCTAAAGCTGCTTCTGGAAAGGGTGGGCAGCGGGTTGACAGCATCATTTTCCATGTCTGGTCCCAGGGGTGGAGGCTAACTGAAACTGGGCTGTAGAATTTGTGTTATGTGTCCTCCAAAATCAATAACCCAAGTCTGTATTCAGCACCAGGATTTCCAAGGCAGGTAATTTAATATGGCTCTGAAATCCTTCTGTATAAGTATCCCAGCTGTGTATGTTTGAAAATTGCTCGAACTTTCAGTCCTTGACACACAGCCTTGTTGGGAGCAGATTCTCTGGTGATCACTTTAAATTGTACCCAGATATTTAGCTCCCAAAGGGCTGGGCACACCTTTATCACACAGAGTTGGTCCTGGCATTCCATGCCACTCCTGGGTCCCGCTGCTGGCCACTGGTAAGCAGAGATATGAGAGAGGAAATGGTGTGGTGGCTGATATGCCCTGTTAAACAGGTGCTTGATCTCTTTCTGGGCACCTTGTGATGTTAAAGGCCAGGGTAATTTAGAACAGCCTGTGGAGTACTCAGACACCGGCCAAGGGAATACTTTTCACAGAGCAACAGACCTTTCTGCACAACAGCCTCAACCCGTGCAATTTGATTGCACCTTAGGAACAAACCCTCTGAATGACAAGGGCAATGACCTGAACCTGGATTAAAACAGACTGAAAGCTGGTTTTAATCCTCCCATTATTTCCTCTCTGAATGATTTCTACAGAGGGGCCAACCTGTGAAAAGTGTAGCTAGTTAGCATATATTTCATTCTTCCTTATGTGTTTATTTGAATTATTTTCCAGGCATGTGAATGAAAGATATGAATAATGTGGTTTGAATGCTTCAGTGACTGGGTCTTTTAAATAAAACCAAGAGGGGATTGATCAGTGCCACAAAAGAGCCAAAGAATCCCTTGAACAGCAGCTCACATAACTGTGGATTGCATAATTCAAAGCTATCCTGGGGCATCTTTAAATGATGCATAGATTTTGTTTTCTTACTTTACATTTTTGAGAGGAGAAAGTTAGATGGAAGTTCGTCATTGGCCACGGTGGCACTGAGAGATGCAAAGTGTCTCCTTGAAAGATAAGACGTCGCCCCTGCCTCCCTGCTGTCTAAAGCAGGGAGGGTGGGGGAATCAGCTCAGCTCCGTTCAGTAGGAGAAGCTGCCCGAGTGTCGTTTTCTCCCTGGTCAATTAAGATACGGGCTGCAAAGGTAATAGAGGGAGACAAGCTGGCTTTTAAAGCCGCTATCAGATATTGTTAGCGAGGATGGTGTGAGCAACCCCGGTTTGCAAACCCAGTTGCTGGCTGGTGCCGGAGGGCTGCTAGAGCCTCCCAGAGCCCTCCAAACGCTGCTCCGCGCAGCCAAACCCAGAGTGCCAGGAATCAGATGGAGCGAGGCAGCAGGTACGGCGAAGAAATCCGAGATAATGATTTTATTTGTTCAGGATATTTAAGTTTTTTAAATTGGCAAATTAAGACAACTTAATTAGTTAACAACACACTACATTTGCTCAGCCCGTGTGTCTGAAGAGCTGGCATCATTAAAATAACACCTGTGGATTATGTCTAATTACCGAATTTTTTGAGAAAGAGGTATACATTTTAATTTTCTGCCTTTTAAAAGTGAAGTCAGAGTTTAACAAGTTGATATTTATGAGAGAGGAGATTTTAATTTGTAACGCGAGCAGCGGGTTGTTTTGCTTTTTTGCTTTTTTTTTTTTTTTTTCCCCTTAATAGCCACAAGGTGGCACAGCCCGCCCGCAGTTCGCCCCGAGCCGCGCCGGGGATGGGGATGGGGATGGGGATGGGGAGTGGGATTGAGACGGGCATGGGCACGGGCCGAGAGCGGGGCATGGCTCGGGGCCGCTGCAGCCAGGGCGGAGAGCAGCGTAAAAACAAGCAGGAGAAATGGCCAGCGGGGAAAAGGGTGATAGAAGCAAGAAGACCCCTTCAGGTACGGAGCTGGGCTACGCTCATGACTGCCACTCTCAAACCTAGGTGGAAATAAAAGGTTCCTGTAAGGGGCGGTGTTAGGAGAAGGGATGCAGGGAGAAGGTGTCTGTGTGATCCCTCACCACTGTCCCAGTGTGCTACATCTGGTGTTTGTGTGTGTGTGTGTGTGTGTGTGTGACTGGGGATGCAGCATTTAGTCACTGCCTGGCTCTCTGCCTGCAGCTCCCTGCGCATCTTCGTTAGAGATGTTGTAGGGTTTGATAAGTTTCTGGGTGAGAAAAGTGGGGCACCCCCCTCGGTCCCAGTTTGTCGTGCACACACCTTCTTTGGCATACTGCAGATTGCTGCAAAGTAGCACCAGTCATACAGGGATTGATTCTGGAATGCCCTTTCTGTAACCACACTGGGGCAGAGACTTGCTTTGTTTATGTTCAAGGCAGTGGCAAATGTGCTGGCAGTGCTTAAACAACACATGGCTTTTCATAGTGGAGCCTAATTTTAAGTACACTTCAGTGATACACTGCCAATAGATTAGCATGGGGGATCCCACCAAATTATACCCTGTAGCTTGTGATAAAATACATTTTCCAAAGCAACAAGCATTTGAAGGGAGGTGATGGCAAATACACTTGTTTTGGTACTAATTTAAACAAAAAAAAAATCCTTTCAAAGCATAGAAAGGAACTTGGCAAGTGAACTGGTAGGAGAGATCAGATTCCCTGATGTTTTAGGGGACTGCTGCCTGGGAGTGGGGTCATAGGTGCCCTGTGAAGCATGTCTTGCAGAAGATGCAAGGAATCACCTTTCTCCTCAACTACAGGGATTTTGAATGCAAGAAATCATCTTTTTCCTCAACTACAGGGATTTTGGATGCAAGAAATCTCCTTTCTCCTCAAATATGAGGATTTTCTAGACACCACTGGATCTCTGTGCTGCCTTATCACAATACAGGGGGTAGTTTGGAAGAAAGGAATGATCAAGGCAAAGCTCGGGTCTCCTATAGCAGTTACAGTGCCCCTGGCTGGCTCAATTGCACAGAACCACCATGAAGGAACAGTCAGGCAGCAGCTCTGAGAGAGTTTCTTCATGGCAAATTGGAGTGGTGATTGAGGCACTGATAAACTGGTTGTCTTCCCTGAGGGCCTGGGGCTTACTGCCAGACTGAACAGCCAGTGGGTGTATGGCTGTCTTTCCCAAAAGAAGAAATAGGGTATAACATTCCCACTGCTTCTTAGTTCCATCAGTACAGCATTTCATCCTGTATTTTCTGATCCTGAAGGCTATATGGTAGGTGGGTTAGGTCTTTCAGGTACAGGTGGTGCAACAGGAACTTGAAATCAAGCTTTTTCTCCTTCTTCCTCAGAGACTTGGGGGAAAAGATGAGCTCAGAGCTTGTGTGCATCTACAGTGCAGCTGCTGACACCATTCCAACATCCCTGCAGGTATCAAATATGTGGATTATTGGAGGCCAAGGACTATGCCTGGCACATGTGCACATACACCCTACACAAACCTCCCATTTCCAGGGTATGAGGTACCCTGAAGTGAGTTCAATCCACTGCTGATGCTGTGCTACTGGGCTGCTAAAGGTGACAAGATCCCACAGAACAGCAAACAAAATTGATTTAGTGTGGCCCAAGGTTTAATATACATACTTCAGGGTTTTTTTTTTAATGCAGTGACTGTTTCATATAGAGTATTTATTAAATTTTTTATACTCTGTTGTGGACACTCATGACAACACAGCAGGTGTTCAACAGGCATGCCCTGGCAGGAATAGCACAGATATGTTCAGATGGAGAGCGAATGACATCAGAAGTCAAAAATCACACCAAAACTTCCATCATTGTGGGAGTAAGAATTTAGGCCAGAGCTGCTGGCAGATAAAAGACCCCCTTCATAAAATACCATTTGTAACCTATTGTAGATGGTTTGCACTCTCCCCCAAATTATGAAATTGCAAACAATAAAACCTACTTAATCAAAATGTATGTGGTCATAACCTGAATTTTAAACAAGTTTTGGAATTTGCACAGGAAAGCCAGTCACATAAAGGTTTTTTAACAGGAAGATTGGGGGTTAAAAAATGACTGAGGCTAAGCAGAAATAAAACCAAATATTGGACTATATGACAATCAATCATTTCAATGTAATTGAACTCAGAAAATATACATTTCATCCTCTCACCTGAACATTGAAATTTTACTTGTAAGGATACCACTAAAAAGTAGGTGCATTTTACTGTGTATAGCTCTGTGTTTTCACAGCACAACTTACAGCTTTGCAATTAAGGCACCCTTTCTTTTTCATTTTGTTTAGCAGCCACACTAGTATTTTTTTCCTATGACTATAGGATTTCAGCCTGTATTTCTTGATCCTGAAGATAAACCATCCTGGGCAGTGCAAAGGGGTTAGACATAGATCAGTCAGGAATTAACAGGTTAGTTAATTTCAAGTGGTTGAACTTTAAGCAGCATTTAGATTATCCCATGCTAAAGCATCTCAAGTTATAAATCACAGTGGTAAAAGATAGTGAATCTTGAGGGTATATCATTAGCAAACCTTCCCTAATGATTTTAAAACCTCCCAGATGAATGGGTATATTGACACAACTCTGTCCACAGTGGGGAATATTTGTAGTTTAACAGCTATAAATCCTAGAATAGTTGAGTAATTTTACACTAAAACCAACTCTGTAAATGTTATACACACCACCATGAATTCTCCTGGCATATTAGCTTATTTAATAGCTCTGACAGAGAGTTGCCATCTATTGCTTTCTCCACTGGCAGGTTCCCAGCAAGGGAAGCTGTAACTGTCCCACTCTGTTCATGGATCAGGTACCAAATTTTTGTATAGGGACCCAACTGCACACAGTGGATGAAGGAACTGGGAGGTTTCTGCTCCAGCTCTTCTGGGGAGTATAGGTATAAGTTTTATATAAAACTTATTGTTGATCCTCTGCCTCCTGAGAATTCACCTTTTCTGACTTATTGGGATCTTTTCTTTTTAACACCAAGTCCTTGCTCTGAGTTTAATCTTGGAGAAAAATAAAAAAAATTCCACCATATATTGACAGCCAGTAATTTATTCTATCTTCAACTTGAGTACAGACAGATGCATCAGGAATATTTTCAGTATGAAAGAGACCAGGCTTTGATGGAAAAAGTGCAGGTTTATGCTAGAGTTTAAGGTTCTTACAGTGCATATTCAGTTATGGTAGTGATATATGTTGATAGATTTAAAAGTGGCATCTCTTATAGTGTGAATAAATATAGCATACTTCATGTAGCTGCAAAAGAACATTTCTTCTAATGAAAATACATACATAATTAATGCTATGGACCTCATTATGTATGAAACAGTGGAATAGTTCTGAACTACTCGAGACATCTGTCTAAACAAATCAATGAGAAATCTTGGAGATCTATACTAATAAGCTTCTTGTGATCCAAATGTAAGTCTTTCCTATTAAAAATGGTGATCCTGTTGATCCTTTTAACAGTAACATTTATAGAGACTGAATTAATACAGTAATGGCCTCATCAAACTTCCCTGTATTGTAATTACAAAGATCTGGTAGGGGGTATATCCTTTTTCTAAACATTGTCACATCATTTTATGCTGATCCCTGATCCCACTTTCAATATATCTAGGATTACCGTACTGAACAGTACATAAAGCAAACATTACCTGCAATCAATACTATAAAGGCCTGTCTGAGTCAGCTGCAAGTGCACTTTAGAAACTGCCTCTTCTTAAATCATGGCATGGCACTGGAGATCAAACAAAGCGCTGAAGATGTCAGTCCCTGAATTTACATCTCAGGGTTTCACAAAAGGGCATTTACAGTGGAAGACCCTGCAAAAAACTCACATACCCTGCACTTAAGGAGAAATGTCAAAGTCTGTTTATTCATCCTTTTGCTCAAATGGCCTGATCCTCAAATCTCACTGAAGTTAATGAAGTGACTCAGGTTATAATGGGGTTTGGATTAGAAATTTATTAAAATAAGTGTAAATATTTCTATTTCACTGGCTTAAAATTTTTCCCTAAGCAATTACACCTCTCAAGCCATCAAGATGTTACGATTTAAGGGTATAATTGAAGTATATGAGTTGGTTTATATTCTGAGAATGCAGTGTCATTTCTGGTTTGGCAATCTGTGTAAATCAAAGCCATATATAAAGACACTTAGATATTCTCTACTATTTGCACATTACTGCTAAAAAATACAGAAAGTATTTTTCTCTCTTTCCTTTTCTTCTCCAGAACTATTCTTTAGCATTTTTCTTTTCTACACAGGTAGTAGCAAGAAATAAAATAAAATCTGACTGTAGTATTTTTGAATTAAAAGACACAAATATCAAAAAACTTGTTAAACAGAAAGGAAAAACTGGGTAAAATTCTATTAAAAACTATACGCAAAATCTCAAATGAATTGTGTATATGTTCACTGAGGATATATGTCCTAAATCAGGAGAAGGTTGCTTACACTAACACACTGAGGTATACATAAAGTTCTCATGTTATTTATCCCTGTTCAAAACATGGAAACTTCTTAATTTCAAACTGTGATTTGCAAAGTTGAAAGGGCAACATTATTTTTAGTGATGGAACTACCAGAAAACATTTGTTAAGAGTGCTGTAAGCTAGTCTCCCTAGAGTTCCCCCTGAGAAGGGCTAATCTGCATGACTAATATTCAGAGTGTAATTCCCTCCCCTGGGCAAGAGTTCCCATTGCACTGACAGTCCTTTCTCTGGCTGTTGCTTTGAGTGGTGCCTTCTCCACTCCGTCTGGTCCTGAGGGAATAATGCTTAGTGGAGGACTATAAAAGAAACAGGATGTCAGCACTCAGCACACCAAAACTCTCATCAGGGATAGCAGGAGCCCCTACATATGCAGGTTTGTCTGCACCATTCAGAGAGAAATAGCTCATTTAGGGTTGTTAAGGTGGAATATTTTAGACTTCATTCTCAAGAAAACATATCTTTTGAGAC